AAGTGGAAAAGATCTCAGAGCACAGCATTAGCCATAGGGCCCTAAGGAGAACATTTAGAACTTCTCTCTGGGCCTCGGCTTCCTTACACATAAATACAAGAGCTGGGCTGGAAAACCATGAAGGTGCTTCCTTGTTGGAGAAGCCTAGGCCTGAGCTTGTGATGTGAGAACAAGCTCTCAAATACATTAGTGGAAAATGGTATTTTTTTTTTTTTTTAAAGATTTTATTTATTTGAGACAGAGAGAACGAGAGAGAGAGAGCACATGAGAGGGGGGAGGGTCAGAGGGAGAAGCAGGCTCCCTGCCGAGCAGGGAGCCTGATGCAGGACTCGATCCAGGGACTCCAGGATCATGACCTGAGCCGAAGGCAGTCGCTTAACCAACTGAGCCACCCAGGCGCCCGTGGAAAATGGTATTTAAGGAAACCCTGAAATAAACTGTGTAAAGAACAATTAATTTACAATGCCAATTATCACTCCAATTTATGCTTTATAATTTCTGATCTTGCTTATTTGCTTTTCTTACAGTGAGGAACACCTGCCTCAATTATAACATACATCTCTTTGTGTTCTTTTCCTTATACCTTCTGGTTTAAAAGTAACACTCAGTTCCTGCCCCAGAGTCTCCTCTGTGCACCAACCAAGACAGAGAGCAGCACTTTGTGGGTAAGGTCTGGGCTACCGTGGGCAAAACTACCTATTTACTGCTTCCTTTAGAGTATTCAAGGACATAGAGTTTTTACTGAGCAATCATCACGGGCACTGAGCAAATAAAAGCATCAGGCTGTATTTCATATGCATACCCTCTTACATGTGATGAGTGGCTTGGACATTTTTTAGTGATTTCTGTTACAGGTGCTTTTAGGCAACAGACAGCAATGTAAATTAGTGGCCAAAGGCCCAGGCAGTGAAAACCATTACACCAGACCTAAAAAAATTAGGTGGGAGCCAAGAAGTAGTTTAGAAACAAAAATCCTAGGACATGAAAATTCAAAAGTACCTGAAAGGAGACCTGGCACGATATCCTGCTGGAAGTGAGAGCCCTTCTACCTGTGGCTTCCCACCTGTTCTGGGATAGCTCCCGGGAAATACCCACAAATTCATGACAGTGACCTGCTGTCTCTAGTTATTGGACAAATCTGCATACTGATCTGCAATCTGCCTTCCTGACACCCACCCCTTAGCTCCAGTTCTGTCCTCAGTATGATTCCACTGTAGATTATTCTCTACTGCTCATTGCTGGAATACCCTCTGTCCTGGGGAAACTTTACAACGGAGTAACAATGTTACAGCCTATAATGCAAATTCATCTTTCCTTTCTCAATTACTTTTCAGGAAGGATGAGAGCTGAGCTGTTGGCTCTATCATATATACACTGCTATTAATCTGAATCCTTGTTAAAAACTTTCACTTAAATTTGGTACACCAAGTACAGCAGATCCTTTGATTGGAGTAGGAGACAAACTCTTTTCAGTGGCCTCCATTTAACCAGCCTGTTGCGGTAACCAATGTTCTCTCGCCCCCTGGAAAGCACTCTGGCCAATGTCCACAGCAGGTAGAATGCTCATAGCCAGTCGGCTGCTCTCCGGTAGGAGCACACAACTTCTACTCTCACATGCTGAGCAGTATGCTGACCAAGACTCAGCTGTGTTTATTCTCAAACATTCTCTGCCAGTGTATTAATTGTTGTAATTACATAACTAAACAGTATACAAATCAATAAAATATGCATTAAGAAGAGTTGTTTATGGAACAAGTTCAAGGTTTGGAAAGACTAAAGCTGATTCAGTAAAAACAACGCTATCATATTAGATGCAGATAAGACAACTATAAAAAAAACTCGAGAAAAACTATAAAAATCTAGAGGGATTTTATACTCATTTACTTTGCAAAGGCCTTTAAATTCTTACTCCCTTTAAAGTGGGTGCTGTCGATCATGCATAACATAGTTTATGCAGGACAAGCCAGGCAGGTCTCTAAGAGTGGACTTCTACTCGAAGAAAGACTTTGGCCTTCCTTCAAAGATCGGCAAATGAATGTACCTTTGTGTGCTTTAAGTTAAAATGTAAATACTTAAAAACTATATTATCTTTTTTAGGATTTCCAGCTTCAATCACCTTTTTTAACAGCAGATCAATTCCTGACCCTGATGAAGTCAGAGAGAGAAATCTCCTCCTGCAGTTTATAGCTGGCCTGTCTCTCAGGACCCTGACAGAGAATTGCTCAGATGAAGATGTCATCATAGACAATCTTAAGACTGCATATCATCAGTTAAAGTTTGCCAAGAACTATGCAAATTGAGGTACAGTAGTGAGAGCTGCCAGGAACTGTATAAATTAGTCAGATTATACTGACATGGACCAATAAAAACAACTGGGTATGTGCGATATTTAGCAAAAGCCAGAGAACTATGGGGGGAAATATGGAAGAAACCATAAATGGAAAGATTAGATACAAAGTTAAGAGGAAAAGAAACTATGTATCCATTGGTAGACAAGATTTATGAAGCTGAGTATTCAAAATGAAGTTCTTTAAAAAACACAGGAGAGTACATAGTGAACTCTGACTGGGAGAACTTTCCAGAAAGAGTCAGTCAGTCACTGAGAGAGCAAAGACACTAAGGGAGGAAAAAAGCAAAGCAAGTGTCAAGGACTTTGTTACAGAAAAACTTAAAAATAGGATATGAGGAACAAGGCTTGTACAAAATGAATCACTGTAAAGTTTTAAGAAGCAGTTTATAATGAACTACTCCAGTTCCCCCAAAATGGTTCAGATGGTCTCATGACCCTATTAAGGTACCATTAATCTCTAAAAAAAGAAATGAGCGGGGCGCCTGGGTGGCTCAGTTGGTTAAGCGACTGCCTTCGGCTCAGGTCATGATCCCAGGGTCCTGGGATCGAGTCCCACATCGGGCTCCCGGCTCA